CAGGTTGAGAGCCAGTGCTCTAAGGCCAGGAGGCTTGTTTGTCCCACACAGATGAGTACGTCTCCTTCCAGCCTGGCCAGGGAACATGCCCAGCTAGAGTGTCCCAATCCTCTATACGGAGTCACTCCCAGATAGTCAGGTGTGGGTTGGGGGGGAGCTTTTCGGGGCTGAGAACTTTGGGACTCATCTGTCACCTTGATGCCTTGGAACCCTGATTTACTGACATGAGTTCTGGGCACCTGGGATGCCAAGATGGATGCTTTATTGCATCATGGGCCTGGTGTTGAGGAGACCCTGCTTATGACTGAGGACCTAGTTCACTGGGTAGGTTTGCAGAGTCTCACGATCAGGACTTCTAGTCCAGGCTCTCATTAGCTCTCCTCCCACTCCAGCCCCTTCCCTAGGCAAGCGATGCCCTCCTAATGGCCTAGGGCCGGAGCCTGGTGTGCTCTGAGACTCTCCTGTCCTGTAGGAAAAAGAAAGGATCCCAAGTTTAGCTACAGATCTAGAAGCTGAGGGGACAAAGTGTATCTGTGACTTCCCAGGGACACTCTGTCTCATGAGAGCAGAGATACAAAGTCATTCATTGTTCTTTCCTTCAATATTTGCTCACCTGGTTCCCAGGTCCTTATGCTGAGGGAGAACTGGGGACTGCATGGTAAGCAAGACACCGGACGTTTGGGACTCTGGGCAGCAGTCTCACACAGGGCAGGAGATGAAGGCCTGAGCGGCTTGAGGAGTCATCACCATCCATGGTGGCCATTTCAGACAGGAGGGGCTGGGAGCGCTAGGCCCCGAGCCAGCAGAAGCCACATTAACAATTAAGGTCTTTGCCACCTTCATTCTCAACCTCGCTGCATGAAATATTCAGACACCAGAGGAGCTGGGTCTTCGATCGCTGCAGTGTGTGTGTGTGTGTGTGTCTGTGTGTGTGTTGGACTGCTACTTGTAGATTTGGGGCTTGAGGTAGCACCCGAGGCCAGGCATGTAGAGCATCTGGAAGCTGCAGGGTTGGGATGGCAGGAGCAGCTGCCAGCTGTCATAGGGATATACATAGCCGGACTCAAAGGCTGCGTTTGGAGCCTGGAACTTAGCACCTAAGCGAACCCTATGTTGCGGGACTGCCCTCTGAGCCTGACAGCCACTGCTACCAGGCTCATAGCAGCTGTGACCCTCAACCTTGGGCCAGTTGACATTCCCTCACAGGAGGAGAGTTGGGGAGGACATTTAGGTACCCTCCCCTGGCATTCCAGCCACTTCCTCTACACCTCCTTCCCGTTGGTAACTGGCCAACTTACCCCTGGTTAGTTAGTCTAGCTCTAAGGAGGTACTCCAGCAGCACCTTCCTGGGGCAGGTTAACGGAAGGGGAGGGTACTTTATCGATGTAGCTATGGGAAATTTGTTATTCCTGCCAGCTATTATTACTGCTGTTGTTATTGTTGGGTCTCAGAGATCCAGGGAAAGGATGGTGGCAACAAACAGGGCCCTCCACTCAGCTCCACTGCCCGGGCCTCCCTCCACTCCTACACCTCCACTGAGCCCTCCCAAGAGGCCGAGGACTCCCTGAAGGAAGGCTTCCTGGCCTGTAGTGTGTAGGTGATTTTAACCACTGCTTGGGTGAAGCTGTCACCTTGGAGGACCCGAAGGCAGAGCCTGCAGGCCATTGGAACACCACAAGGAGACAAACGTGTGGCAGCCACAGAGCTCAGTACAAATTGAATTGTCTCAGCAATTTCCCTGTTGAGCAGAATTGTTCCCTTGGTGTGTGCTCTGCTCACCTCCCCACCCCGCCCCCCTCAACGCCCGCAGTCTCAGCGTCTCAATGGAGTAACTCCCTGACACAATCTTTGCTCTGTGGGGATCCTCCAGGGAGCTTGCTGCTGCGACTTGCTTCCTGGTGGGGGTGAAAGCAAATCTGCAGCTTTCCCTGGCACGGACCCTAAGTCCCTTCCTTTTTAAAGTGTGCTGTGCTGGGCGGGCAGAACCCCAGACTCCTCTACTCAGCTGACTCCCAGGTGGGCGTGCCTGAGCCCATGTGGCTGGCCTCAGCATCCTCGGGCTCATCTTCCCACCCCGTCTCTCGTTCTCCAGGAGGGAGGGAGGGGGAAGGAGGACTGAATTAGCAACCTGTGTGGTTCCCAACCCCTGACCAAAGTGAGCCACGACAGCCAAGACGGCTCTCCTGCTTCAGGTCACTCCTGGACCAGCCTTTTGCACTCATATCTCATATTTCATTCATTCATTCTCTTTCTTATGTTTTTTTCCCCTCCCCTCCCCTTCTTGATCTGCCCCGGCTCCATTCGGCCCAAAGTCCACTGTAGCTGTCTTCAGATACCCATATGAGGGCATCAGATTTCATTACGGATGGTTGTGAGCCACCATGTGGTTGCTGGGATTTGAACTCATGACCTCCTGAAGAGCAGTTGGTGCTCTTAACTGCTGAGCCATCTCTCCAGCGCTCGCGCGCTCTCTCTCTCTCTCTCTCTCTCTCTCTCTCTCTCTCTCTCTCTCTCTCTCTCTCTCTCTGCCACCGAGCTCTAGGATTAATGACACACACCACTCATGGCTTCCTTTCTTGTTTTTTTTTTTTTTTAATTACATTTATTTCTTTCTGTGTGAGGGTTTATGTATGCTACAGCCCTCTGTGGAGGTCAGAGGACAACTTGAGGGAGTAAGGTGTCTCCTTCCATCACTGTGTCCTGGGAATTAATTTAGTTTGTCAGATTGGACTTCAGGCTCCTTTACCCGCGGAGCCATTTCGTCAGCCCCTCCTCTACTTCGAACAGCCACTAACAGTCCAACCCTAAGGCCGTTCCACTTGCTGTTCCTTTCACCTGCTCGGCCTCCCCGCTTACCTTTGTCCTTGTCGCACAGGCTTAGATCCTAGCTTCTAGTCCCTCCCAGAACACAGATCTAAGGCAGTTGAATTCCCTGCATAGCGCTGCAGTCAGCTCACTGATTCTTCTCACGTCGTACTCTCCCTCCTCCCAAGAATGCCAAGTACCCTCGGAGGGCAGTGGCCTCTTGTCCCGGTAGAATTCCCCCGGGCTGGGAAAGGTGCGAGAGGGCACACGCGGTGGTTCAGTAAACGGCTGAGTAACTGTAAATAGGGGACGTCAGCTACTGCGCGGGCACGCGCTCCAGGCCCCGGGTAGCTTACCCCGGTATGTGAGCGCGCGGGGTGGGTTATCTCCTTGTAGGTCCAGGGGAAAGGCATCCTTCCCTCGGCCCCGCTGGCTGCAGGAGCGCCGTTAACTGCGCTTCGGGGACGGGACTTATAGGTGGAGGAAGATCCATCTGCTCCGCAGCGATGCGGGGCGAGGGAAGGTTCTGCGCTCGCTGCGTACCTAGGGACCCCCAGCTACATGGCCAGCGTGGAAGACCTTCCCTCGCCTTTCTCAAGGGTTTCCACCTACATGTGTGCCTCCAATCCCAGGGATTTAGCGGTGTAGTGTGCGGAGGGGAAGGGCTCTGAGAACCGCTCCGGGAAATGGGCAGGTCCTCGGTCCCCACCAGGTCAGGGGAAGAAGGGAGGGAGATCTGGCCCAGAGATCAGGCTGGCAAGGCTCCACAGTCCTGTTGAGAGATTAGGCACCTAGGTGGAGAGGGTCGGTGGCCCGGGAAGGGACAAAGAGCAGCCCTGCCCGACCCCCCCCACATCAGGGTCCTATTGTTCCTCCTCTCTCGGACAATACCGAACTCTGGTGCCCCTGAGAGGGAGGGAGGGAGCTGCGCCCACCCGGTGGGCATTTGTTTATTAAGGGTGAGAAAGGGAGGGTCAGGGACGCTGTCCGGATAAGGGACGCGCGCATTTTCGCGCGTCGCCTTTAAGGGAAGCCCTGCCCTACCTTTCCCACCGGTCCCCGCCACCCCCTAGCCCTACCTGCATTTTAAAACCCCTTGTAGTCCTGGGATTGGCCCAGGCCGCGTCCTCCGGGCGAAGAAACTTGAACCGGGGCTGTGGGGGGGAGGAGAGTGCAAGGCCTCGCGGTTGGAAGATACCATCTCCGCAGCCTCCCCCGCGCGTGCCCCGCCCCTCCCGCACACCCCCGAACCTGCCCAATCAGACCTGCGGGAGGGCGGGACCGTGGCTCGAACGCGCCTCTGGCAGGGCGCCCGGCGGGCCGGCCCACCGCGTAGGGGGACCTCGGGGGCCTGCCGCGCCTCTGACCGCCTCCCTTTCGGAGGCGGGGCCCAACGGCGGCGCCCCGCCCCCTCTCCGCCCGGGGTGGGCGGGGCGGCTGGGGCTCCGGGAGCGGGGCCGGGGGCGGGCCTCCGCCTGCTGTGCCCGAGCCCGGAGAGCCCGGGCACCGCGGCCGCCGACGCAGCCACCGTCCCGGTTCCTCAGCCGTGAGGCGCGCGCGGGTTCTCGGGTGACCCCAGAGGGGCCCCGCGGGAAGGAGCGCGAGGCGGCGCAGGGCGGGCCGCACGCGTCCCCGGCCGCCCCCCGCGCGCGCGGCCCCGCGCACAGAAAGGGCCGGCCCCCCCCCCGCCCGCCGCGGTGCCCGGGCTCTCCGGG